CAAAAACACCAACCATTTCCTTCAAGAAATCGTAGATCTTTATGTTCCACCTGGTTCAATGTTAGTAACACTGGATGTAGCATCACTATACACCAACATACCGCATAAAGATGGTATTTCTGCAGCAATAAAGGCCTATGAAAGTTCCGCTTTTGATAAACATATTGATGAAGAAGCGCTTGGTACTTTTTTGAAACTTGTCCTTGAATTAAACAATTTTGAGTTTAACAACGTTCACTACGTACAAGCCAACGGCACCTCAATGGGTACGAAAGTAGACCCTAACTACGCCAACATCTTCATGGGCATTCTGAAAGGCGAATTATTAGATAAAACCACGCTTCAACCTCTCTACTTAGGCACTTCATTGATGATATTTTTCTTGTCTCGACGCATGACGAAGCAAGTCTGCTTGGTTTCATTCCAAAGTTTAATGATTTCCATTAGTCTATTAGGTTCTCGCACTGATTTTTGAGCACTTCTCTAAATTTTCTCGATGTCACAGTCACTATTTCCAAAGAACAACTTGCCACAAAGCTGTTCCCCAAGCCCACTGACCGACATCAACTCCTGCATTTTCAGAGCAGCCACCCCCGGCATTGCAAAACAGGAATTCCTTATAGTCAAGCTCATCGATTTAAATGATTGTGCTCTGACCGTACAGATTTCATTGAAAATTGTAATAGGCTCAAATGTACTTTAGCAAAAAGAAAATACCCAGAAAAACTAATAGACGATGCCATAACTCGAGCCGACCAACATAACTGCGCCGAGATTCTGAAAGGAAGTGACGGGAACGATAGCTCTGTTCAAACTAATCTTGTTCTAACACTTTCATCATCAGCTCCTAAGGTCTCTGCTATATTGAAACGGCACCACAACATCTTAACACAAAGTGATAATCTACAAAATTCTTTCCTGGGCCGCCTCGTGTTGTTTACCGATGGTCAAAAAACCTTCACGACATGTTAACGTCATCTAAGATTGATGCCCTTAAAGAGTGGGGCTGCACACCTTGCAACAAACCGCGGTGCAAAATATGTGTGCACATGCAAACCACGCAAAACGTCGCAAGCACGTCTTCGGACTTTATATTAAGGATTCGTGGTAGATTTGACTGCGACACTTATAATGCCGTGTACATGTTGGAATGTAGTACCAGTTCGAAAAAATATATTGGTCACACAGAAACTCCCTTCAGAATACGCTTTAATAACCACAAATCTCATGTAAATATTTTCCCTCATCCACCGCTATCACGACCCGTTCGCATGCCAGGCCACTTTTTCGACCAAATGAAAGCAACCATTCTTGAATCTGGTTTCCGCTCAAGTCATGATCGCGAACTCCAGAAATCATACCGGATATTCAAGTTTAGTACTTTAGCAGATAGTATCAATGAGGATGCAAGCACATTGACGTGTCTTCCTTCTACGTAAGTTATCTCAGTCAAGAGTACAACAAGCGTCCGCTAGCCTGCTTCTTTATCACAGCAGATTATTTTGACAGTACAACTTCTCCTTTGAAAGTGCGCTCTGCTGAGAATGTATACAAATGAAAAAAGCGATCTGTTTATATATATTGCTATTACTTGTCATCTGCAATGCGTATATTTTAATACCAACTAGCTTTGTAAGAAAACTATGCCATTTGTAATGCCGCAATTTACACGTGTATCCCGCAAAGCCGCATCACTCCCCAATGACTGATGCAGGCTGACACCACACAGTGCTATATAGATATAGTTTTTATCATTGAAAATCGCTTCTGTGCTGATACAGAATAGCCTTGTTCGTTATACTAGGGGACGTGTTTTTTGGGCGGGCCTCGATCATTGACATATATAAGTATGCAATTCGAAGGCTGGTCTCACGGCCAAAACGTCGGACTAAACTGTGCTGAAACGTTCGTTGTGTGAATTACACTTATTTCTACACTATCTGAGCCAGCGTGATACTTGTTATAGCCCATATATATATATTCCGGGAACAAATTATGCAAGCTTGCCCCCACACTCGTCAAGGAGTTGGTACGCCACTGCGTCACTGGCATTTATTCACATACCCAAAATAACTGTATAAATTGCCATGAAATGTACATTTACCCCCAGCATCTAAGCTTATCGACAAGCAAGACAAACATAAGGTATGATAAAGCTAGGAGCTGAAAGTGTTCGAACCGATGTGCTTTGAAGTGTGAATATAAAGACACACAGTGTCTTTGGACTGCCCTAAAAGTTACCTGACAATTTTCTACACTCAGCTGACTCAAGCACTTTTACTTTCGTACATAAAGCTTCTTTTTTTTTTTTAGAAAAATAGGCCGCAAGCACAGAGTGCCTACCAGGAGCTTACGCAAGGGTGCATTTGAACAACTGGTTCTGAGCCACAAAAAATGTTGTTTAAGAAAGGCATGAATGTGGGGAACACGCACAAAAAGACACTCTTCCCAAATAGCAAAAAAAAAAAATGTTTTTTTTTTCTTCAAATTCTGCTCTACCCTGTGCCCTTAAGCCAGTAGTTAGCAACCTTTTCAAGCGGAGGTCCGAGCTGCCAATACACATGCCCAAATAGAAGGGAGAAGGGGTCTTAGCAGGCAAAGAGAAAAAGTTAGCTCAACTGCACTTGACAATAATTTAGAATATGAAAATGAAAATCACGTCTGCAACAGAGCAACATATATTACGGGCAAGAATGTTGTTCGAGGTCAAAACTGCCACGTCGGCCTTCAGGTAGGGAGGAGAGGGGGTGGCTTTTGACGTCTTGCGAGGGGCCGCAGGTTGCCACCCCCTTCTGTAGATGATTCTTTGAGTATTTGGAATGAAGAGTTACGAGAGAATTCAGAGGCTTAACTCTGCTGTGTGTAGCTTAAGGAAGCGGATTTGTTTTGAACATAAAGTCTACATCTACCTCTAGAGCATAACACATACACTGGCTGTGAGCATACATTAATTCAATGCTCCCTTAATACGCATATAGGAAACGACATCATTAAAAGCTTCCCAAGCTTAAAAAAAAAAAAAAAAGGCTCGCTCGCTAGAGTGCGTCCAGTCCACATGCACGTTGTGTTGTGCATGCTACCTATATCTGCGGCCGGAGGCACAATGACGGCCATCGAAGCAGACGATGCAGATGTGCTCACCCTTAGCAAGAATTATCGAGGTACCTCCTTAATTCGCAGTACCATCTGGCACACATGCTATGAAGCAAGAACTAGTGTAGCAAGATGTGTCATTTCTGGATGAACAGAGTTGGCTTATCTTATTACGTGGGACATAGCAAGCTTCAGAAAATTTGATTGAACCAATTTAGTCAAAATGCACTAGAATACTCCGAAATTTGTGATGTCACACTAATGTTTCAGCCTGAAATCTAAAAATGAAGCTTTGGCTTTCACTTTGTCTTCTAATAATTATCACATGAAGATCAAAACAGCAACAACATTCTTCTGAAAGAGAAATTTTAATGTTTCACTGTGATCCTCTAATCTAATGTCTAATGTTTCCTCTAAGTGATACTCATTGAGTATGAATTGTTTGTACATTGTTTGCCTATATTAGGCTTGCAGAAATCTTTGCTTTTTGTACAGTATGCATGTTTAGTATTCTGATTAATCATGTACTATTGGCTTATCTTATTACGTGGGACATAGCAAGCTTCAGAAAATTTGATTGAACCAATTTAGTCAAAATGCACTAGAATACTCCGAAATTTGTGATGTCACACTAATGTTTCAGCCTGAAATCTAAAAATGAAGCTTTGGCTTTCACTTTGTCTTCTAATAATTATCACATGAAGATCAAAACAGCAACAACATTCTTCTGAAAGAGAAATTTTAATGTTTCACTGTGATCCTCTAATCTAATGTCTAATGTTTCCTCTAAGTGATACTCATTGAGTATGAATTGTTTGTACATTGTTTGCCTATATTAGGCTTGCAGAAATCTTTGCTTTTTGTACAGTATGCATGTTTAGTATTCTGATTAATCATGTACTATTGGCTTATCTTATTACGTGGGACATAGCAAGCTTCAGAAAATTTGATTGAACCAATTTAGTCAAAATGCACTAGAATACTTCGAAATTTGTGATGTCACACTAATGTTTCAGCCTGAAATCTAAAAATGAAGCTTTGGCTTTCACTTTGTCTTCTAATAATTATCACATGAAGATCAAAACAGCAACAACATACTTCTGAAAGAGAAATTTTAATGTTTCACTGTGATCCTCTAATCTAATGTCTAATGTTTCCTCTAAGTGATACTCATTGAGTATGAATTGTTTGTACATTGTTTGCCTATATTAGGCTTGCAGAAATCTTTGCTTTTTGTACAGTATGCATGTTTAGTATTCTGATTAATCATGTACTATATATATCTGTATTGCAATGAAAAAGGATAGTTTGTTTATGTTCATTGTAAAGCAGATAAAGGGAGAGAATAGTGTACGAAGCTGCTGTTGTAGCACTCTGAGCACCGAAACATGCGTCAGTGAGCCATCAATAGAACGATTTCCTTCTGAAGTTGAGTTTGTCATGGACATACATAGGCGGGGTCCAGTGCAATACCTCTTTCTATATGCTTTTATACACCTTTATTTATATTGTCTACACAAGAACAAAAAAACCAGTTGAAGTTGGCACTCGTTCTGTTAACACTGTGTCCTCTGCCCTTCGTAGCGTATCCTTACCGTAAGTGCATCGCCAACGCACTGTCTCCCTTTCTATGTATGCTCATAAATGGCCTTCAGGGTAAAGAAAAAGAGAAGTTTCACAAGAAAATATGTGATGCCTCATTAATGACAATTCAACCACAGTTAGCCTCTTTTATGCCACTCAGTCATGAAAATTTCAGCATTGTACTAATAAAGCACAGCACGCTCTTTGAGGGGGTGAAGCTATTAGATTCCATTACTGTCATGCAGTAATGAGTCATACAAAGGTAATGATGACAAGAAGTACAACTCCTTAGCAAGAAATAGAAGTGGGAAAAAAATACCTACCAGAGTCATCGCTGAACAGTGTAATCTGCTTTGCTTGGTAAGACAATGCAGAGTTGCTAGGCTTGGGAGCAAAAATGTCATCACCATCATCGTCGTCGAAGATGTTAGTGAAAACTTTCTCCGACGTCTCCTGTAGTGAAGCCTTGGCATCCTGCATTCATTATAATCTGCACTTAAATAGAGCTGGCAGGCATTTATAATAGAGTTGCTCAAAGAAAAGGCAACATACACTATAGTGCAACCAGCTTATAACAAATAAGTAGTATGCATGCTAGAAAACCATTCAACCTTTTTATAAGTTGAGAAAGGAACTCGTACTCCTCAATAGTCTCGATGTCAAATCTGTCCAAATTCAAGTGGATGATGGGGAGAAAATAACATGATAAACAAGATTTATAGACGGCACAAATAAATCAACAAACAAGAAGAGTAGAGATGGGACAGGCACTCACAAGCAACTGAAAGTTTAATAAAACTGCATGAATGGTAAAAAAAAAGGCAGTAATAGAGACTGTTCCACCTTGAAAAGTTCCCTCCAAAACGTTCACCAGTGTGGCAGTTTGGGAATGTTCATTATCAATTTCGAAGAAAAGTAAAAGTACAAATGCACATGCAGCACTGTGTCAAGGGACATTATCGAGACACAAAAGGATGGATTAAATATGCATGTCATCAATTGAAAAAAAGAATCCTATTTTCTTGTCATGACGACGATTAAACGTGTCATCTCTTAGTGCCTTAGAACTTCTGTGGATTGGTATGGGCCAAGTAGATAATGCTGTAAGTAGTAGTGGTATTGGAACAACAAAACTTTTGGAAGTAGTGCCTGTGTGTGAGTGTGTGCTGTTTTTTGGCCATGTTTTCTTCTTACAAACAAAAAGATACAAAAAGCAAAAATGACTTGTAGTGACACCTTATAATGACCCATGGTCCAAGAAGGAAAGAAATGTAAATATCAAGGCTCATTTTTATTTGTCAGACAAAATATTAAAGGGAAACTAAAGTTCAAAATGATATTTTAAGTAATACAGTCAAATCATGCTACAACAAAATTGATGAGATGTCTGAAAAAAATTCATTGTCGCAGAATTTTGTTGTAGCGAAATTTCATTTACAGACCACGAAATTTGGTAAAATCTGATCATTATGACTCATCCTTTGGTCTCCGCAAACACATGCATTGAACTCTCGATAGCTAACTCAGACATACCTGGCCATACACTGAGTGAACGTATTTTTTCACGTATACCGCGATCAAAATATATAGAAAATTTGGAGCTGAAGTTGAGGTGTGGGTTATGCAACAATTTCGGTGCGCAAGTTTGCTTCGAGGCACGCCTTCATGGCAATGCAAAGATGGCGGCCTTGTGTCAATACGCAGGTAGTTCTTTCTTCCTCCCGTAATTTGCGATCAGGGGTGCCGGTTATATGTAGGGGTCGGTTACAGAGAAGAAAATACAAGATTCAGGCAACCCTTCGAGTGTGCAGAGTGCACAACGTTGCGAACGAGCATGCCAAATCATTGCTAGAGATGAACTGATAACTGCAACTGAAAGTGACAAAGCTCCACACAACCGTGGTCATATGTGAATGACAGGAAAGCTATAAAGCTTTGTGTCATTTTATAGCTTTTTTACCTTTAAGCTACAGCTGTGTTAGCCGTGATCATATTCAGTATTGATGAACAAGACGATAGCGACCACATTTTTCTGCGCAGCTGTTGCGGCAAACAGTAGTACCGTTTTCAATCTGTGTGCCCGTGTGCGTGATTAAGAACTGCGTTGTTGATATCTTTGTTCGCATCGTTACGGCAAAAAATGGGTTGAGTCAGTGCGCATTGAGAGCGGGCGTACTTTTGTGGTCGCCTATGATCACGTTCGACATGACTGCATTCGTATTTGCAGCGGCTGCCGCAGAGTATAGTTACACTGAGACTGTGTGCGCCTTCACGACACATGGTTGTTATTCACGATCGCATGGCTAGTGACGACGAGCAGTAATTTTGTTTTGAGCGCGACGTCGAAAACATATGGCGGTGTTCTTGAAGATCGTGGCCCGCATTAAATCCATTGGCATGGTGGATGGGCGAGCTGTTGCCGGGCGTCTCAGTGGCGATAAATTTAGTGTGATGTGCATATGTGGCAGCAGAAAGCACATCTCCAATAAAAACATGGTTGTTGCGATAGACACATGGCCATATAGGGCCGTGTGTATGTCACGAGCCGTCAAGAAATGGTTGAGTTGGTCAGGAAATTTTGCAGCAATCCTAGGCAAGTTCCTCTTTTATGGGGTAGTACTCACAAAAACTTCATTAAAGTGGAAATATCCAGTAAAAGTTTTCATTGCGATGTGACATTTTTCACATTGTTTTCTATGGGCTGCTGATGGGGAATAGAAAATTACTCGTTGTAGCGGACTTCATTGTAGCAGGATTAGACTGTAGGAAAGTACAATTTCGGAATCCCAAACACACCACTCCTACCATGACATGATGGTTCGAAAGCGCGTAAAGAGAGTGCAGGTGGAGACGCCACCTTGAGATTCCCGCAACACACACCATGACCTCATAGATTTAGAAGGTGTCTCCTATGTAGGTTTTATAAGATGAAGCACTCGCATAATTTGACCACCCATAATATTAAGCCAGCTTTACTTTCTCTCTATAAATATACTCGCATATTTCACGCATCTCAAGCCACCTAAGCCAGCTCGCCAACGCGCGTATGAAGAGACCTTTGGATGAGCGCACCCCTCACCGAGCAGGCAAGCGCAGTGATACATAAGACGGGCTGCTAGAGTTAAGTCCATTCTTCCAAGGACTTCACTCAAAATACTGTCCCTAGAATACCGTACTCGAACACCTAAACCTGTTGACAGATGGTCGGAACTGCAACAAGCGTCTGCCTTCCTCTATCTCCTCATCTCTTCCATCATGAGAATGCACGGCTGCGATATGGCACTGACTGTTTTTCGCATCAGAGGCATGCATCTTCTTCAGTGTTGCCAAGTTAGTGGTTTCCCCGATAAATTTAGCAGGCTTTTGACATGCATAGCAGGAAAAATTGATGTATTGCGGGAGGCGGGATTCTTAGTGGTTTTGAAGCCTTCCTAGCTTTTCTTTCGCAGTTTCCGTGGGTCTCCAACTAACAACACCAAGAAGCGCATGGCGGAAATGAGGGGTGCACCGCAAGAAAAGACAACTCTTCTGATAACCTTGGGTCCGCTTGACATAGAAACAGTTTTTAAGCCTCATTACGCCTTGGGATATGAGGTCACAAAGCCCGTACACCTGTGAACGATGAAAGCGGGGTCGTTTACAAAGTACAGAGGGAGGATTGTGATGGTAATTCGGCAGAACGGGCAAGATCAACAAGAAATAAGAAAGCCCGGTTTTTTTAAAGAAGCTGAACGTACATTTAGAAAGCAGTGTGTCAGATTTCTGTCTCTTCTGCTGAAACAAGTTTCACTGCTCTCAGTCGGAAAATGTGCAAGACGAAAAAAATTGCTGCCATTGAAGCGCAATCAGTAGCGTACCAACTCTTTCGCGAGTGGGGGAGCAAACCTACCTGACTCGTCAGCCTGTGTGTGTATATAATATTAATGAGATCTAACAGACAGTAATGCCAAGGAATGTACAGGGGAAGTTATTAGAACCAATGGAATGTAAATAAGAAGAAAAAAAAGTGGATGAAAAAATAACCAGCCGTGAACAGGAATCGAACCTACGACCTTCGAACAACGCGTTATATATATATATATACACACATACATATAGTCACACGTATAGAAAGGTACCTCAAGCACGTGTGCAGAAATTACACAGAAGACAGAAGGAATGAAGACGTTGTTGTGGGGCTGTGTCTGGACTGCCCTGTTGCCCTGCGTCCTTGCACACTGTGTGCAGTGTTAGCCCAACCGGCGTTACCTTATTAAATACTCCCCGTTACTTATTTTTGGTGGAGGTGCTGGGTAACATTCCGACTCTGTATTTCCGTAGAGGACGTCCTCTTTGTCCAGCCACGATGCCTGAAGGCAGTGCGCCGTCCACTCAGTCTACACCTGCTCTGTCACCTGTTATCCCTTCCCATCTTCTCGACCCAGGTACATTTTACGGCACCGACACAACTGACGTTGACGAGTGGCTCGCCTTATATGAGCGCGTCAGCAAGAAATACAGGTGGGATGAGACGCTTATGCTGGCCAACATCATCTTTTACCCGCAAGGTACTGCACGTGCCTGGTACGAGACGCACGAGGAAGACCTGAAGAGTTGGGACGTGTGCAAGCAAAAGCTCCGCGACTTGTTTACGCGGTCAGTTGCTTGACAAATGGCAGCCAGGCAGGAACTCGCATCATGAGTTCAATCTTCCACCGAGTCGTACGTCCCCTATATCCAAAACGTGCTTGCCTTGTGTCGAAAGGCCGACAAAGACATGACCGAACTAGACAAGGTTAGCAATGTGTTGAAGGGCATAGCTGATGATGTCTTCAACATTCTGATCTGCCTTTTGGGTTGTGCCTTTTGGGTTGTGCAATGCGCCAGCAACTTTTGAACGCATGATAGACTTCCTCCTTCGCGGTTTTAAATGATCGAAGTGCCTGTGCTATCTAGACGATGTGATCATTTTCTTGCCAATCTTTGAAAGCCATCTTTCACGTCTGTCGGCCATTCTTGATGTTTTTTGCTGTGCTGCTCTCCAGCTTAACGCGTCTAAGTGAACCTTTGGACGCCGTCAGATAAAGCTACTTGGCCACCTTGTTGACGCTACTGGTGTACAACCTAACCCTGATGAAGTCCGTGCTGTGCACGAATTCACGGTCCCACGTTCCACGCAAGAAGTCCGCAGCCTTTTGGGAATCTGTTCACATTTCTGCCGTTTTGTCAGCAACTTCGCGGAAATTACTCAGCCCCTCACGGATCTGCTCAAAAAGAACATGGCTTTTTTCCTGGCGTGAAGACCAAGAACATTCTTTTGCATTGTTGATTTCTGCGCTCACATCACCACCTGTGTTGGCTCGTTTTGACCCAGCCGCTCGAACGGAGCTTTGCACCAACACAAGTGGCCATAGCATAGGGGCAATACTCACACAAATGCAGAATGATATAAACCGTGTCATAGCGTACGCTAGCCGCCTATTTTCTCAGTCAGA